AAACCCCAAAAGAAGGTATGATGGAAGCAAGACAACTGCATGTCACCAGTTCCTTTTTCAGAAATTTTATAAAATTTTAATTGGATGTTTTGTGTTTTTAAAAGGACTTTTTGTGAACTTTACGGCGACAAGTAGCCTAAAAAGGAAGGTCAGTCGCCGAAAATGTTTTAGTCTTGGAACACAAGTAATAAATGGTGATCCTTTTTGGACAGTTTTGTCTTTTATTTTATTAAAAATAATTCTCCATCGGACGAACTTTTACAGAACAAAATTGTTAATTAATCAAAACTTTAGTTTATGTAATGCCCTAGTAGAAAAAAACGATCTTGCCCAGGATTGTGTAAACTTTCCGGTCATAAGTAGCAACATCCATTGTTCTTTGCAGAACGGGCATCTCATCTTGCAAAAAGGTTGACAGTTAGCATCCAAATTTCGTCATTTATTTAGATCCCAGGAACACCTATAACCCCTAACCTATGAACATCCGATCACGTGATGGAAAATCCCCTTAAAACCCTATAAAAGGCCGTTCCTACCCCCTCTCGGGGGAGTCTCTTAAAATAAGTCGGACGGGTGACATCAACCCTGATCCTCCGTACTGGGAATATTTCCAATCATCGAAGTTCCATCCCCGATCAGCGCTCCAGTCGCGATTTCTATATCTATAAATGTGGTGCCAAAGTGGATATTAAGGACTGTTCCTGTGGACCTATGACAATTTCGGGACCACCCCCGTGGTAGTAGTCGCCGGAACTCTCTCTCTCGAGGTATGACAAAGCGGTGAACTCTCTCTTGCTCGGCATATAACGGCTCGTTTTCCGTATTTTCACATCGATAAACCGCACAGCCTTTGACAAAGAGACCTGTTAATTTGCGCGTTTGCGGTTATGTTTGAGGTTAAATAGCAGCGTTAACCTGTTCTTTCAGATCGGCGTGTTTATCAAGCCGATATTTGTATGGGGTGTAGTATTTAGTCTTAGTATAATAAATTGTTATTTTTTTTTTGTTAAAGAAACTGGTAGACTCCTTTACTCGATCTCGCCCTTCACCTTATCGTCAACCCAATCACCTCCCTTTACACTCGATTGACCTCTTATCCTGACTATAGAGGGGAGCCTTCTGCCCCCGTAACCACATAAAGAATATATTTATAAATCTGAAAGAAAAGATGAACCTGAATGGGACTTGAACCTCTACTTTGGGTCAATAGTTCAAATAATAATATAATCGTTTAGACTTAAGTTTGGCTAACAAGTTGGCTTTTCATTATTCTACATGTATATTTATGAAATGGAAGACCATTCACATGTAATTTTGAAACTATCCGTAAGATTTCATATGCTAACTATGATATATATAAATGAATGCACACTACATTATACATCCAATAATAACAAAATTTTATCCAATTTCAACATTTTTATTAAGGTTCTGCAGATAATGCCAGATGCTTTGGCCAGTCTATTATAATTTAAGATGTTTGAATGATCAATATATGACAATATTAAGAATTAAACAAGTAAGAAATTATACCTGAAACTGACTTTCGAGTTTTGATATTTTTTCATCTGCCTTTATACAACAAATATTTTTCACGTAAAGAGGAAGATCGTCAGCCATAACTGCAGTGTTTCCAAACTGCACTGCTTCAAGTATTGTTTCGTGTATGAATATGTATTGCTCCTGTAAAGAACAAAAATAATCTGTATTGAAAGTCATGTGCATTAATTATTCTGACATATTTTCTAAATCATTATATAATTACCAAATTTTGAACCATGTCAATTCTCTGAGTTCTCATTTTGTGCACAAAACTTAATATGTTAATTTGTTTCTCTCTTTCGGTCTGTTGTAGCAATGCATCAAGAACGATGAAGGTACCCGATCGTCCTATTCCGGCACTAAATTATACAGAAGTGTAATAATCAAGTCTTAAGCATATTATATAGTTCTATTATAAAATCAAATTATTTAAGTTAAAATACCTGCAATGTACAATTATTGGACTTTCTAAATTTGGATTTTCTGATCTCATTCTTCTTATTAAGATAAGTAACGAGGATGCACTCGACGGCACTTTGTGATCAGGCCAGTCTAAAAATTGATAATGTTTAACTCTTCTAGTTTCTCCTATCTGTTAAAATAAACAATAATATTTTAACAATTCCTCTCTAAAAATTTTGTCATTTAGTTTTGAACAAATTTAATTTTGCAAATTCCACTTACACTTGTTTTACGAACAAGTATGGTGCGAACAATGAAATCCATGCAAGATTCTGTATGACTTAACAGAATTTCAAGATCGTCATGACAAATACTATCGTCTGGCCAGTATTTGGCACATTTGTTCTAAAATTAAAAAAAAAACATCTTAACTTCTAATACATAACAGAAAAAAGAAACAGGAGTTTATAAATCACTTTAAATACATACAAAACTTGATATCCAATACATTTATAACTTTTCAAATTTAAGTGAAATTTATAAAAATATTTTAATAAATAATGGAATGTATCTATGAGATGTGAGTGGATTGGGAAATAACACGTATGGACTCAATGTTATCAACCAAAAGAATGTATAGTTTATTGAGAGGGAATTATGGTACAAAAGGGTATGACAAGATTGGCAACTAAGGTTTTACCATCGATGCTGATTAGAACATAGCAAATAATCAATAATATATATACTTTGAAAATTAAAATTTATAATATAATTAATATCAGTAGATTTTAAGTAGGTTGAAAGAAATACCTTTCCATTCTCTACTAAACTTGTAACCATCACAATAACAGAAGAATTCTCTTGCCAAACCATTCTCCAAAAATCTGAAATTGTATTTTCTTTTGGACCTGAAAAATAATTAATAGTGTTTATAAAAATCTTTCTTAATCCCATTTTATCAAGAAATATTTATCTCATCTAACCAGTATACATAAAATACAATATATTGCAAAGCTTAAACTATAACAAAACATACTGTTTACCTTGAGTTGCTATGTATTCTCTTACTCGATTGTATCCCTAGAAATAAATATAAAAATTATAAATTTAAAATGTGATTGTAGTTTTAGTATTTACTATAAAAGATAGGAGAAACTTACATCAATGTAACTGGCATTGATATAATTTGATGAACTGACATCTGGTATGCTTTGCAATATCACTCGATTATTGTCATCTAAAAAATTCATCATATTTAGTGAAAATCAAAAAAAGGAATGAATAAATATTCTTTTGAAATAGCTGCCTGATAGTAAAAGTTTGTCATCCTAAGTCTTATTTTATGGAAGGAACAGTTTTTTTGTTTTGTTTTTTAAAATCATTTTGTTCATTAGTAGGAACATTCATATTGCTGTTTTTGAACACCAAATAAATTTTCAAAAAGTCAAGACTATCTCCAAGGAGACTTTGAATTTCATGTTCAGAGAATAATAAGTTATCTCTTTGCTGTAACTGTGATGTTCGAAAATACAATAAAAATTCAAAAATTAATATTAAAAGCTGACATTCTTTTTAGAAATCTATTCTACATACTGAAGCACTGAAGATGGCATTGAAATGGTTGAAAATGTTTTGAAGTTGGAATAAAATAGCTGAAGTTAAAGGCTAGTGTTATATATTTACTCTGTTCCTTCAACTAGAAACATTCAAAATAAACTATAATTTAAAAATCTGTATAATCTGTTTAAAACCAAATTATTATATATTCTTACATTTACAGTAAATTAACTATTATTCTAAATTGACAACAAAAAATATAAAATTAAGTTAATGGCTTTACTTACAAGGTAACAAATTTCCAAATCTGTTTTTTGAAATATTTTCTGGCTTTTTAGCTATTGACCATTGTGAACATTGTCCTTTTGGTAGTTTCTAAGTAATATAATTTAAATAAAATTACTATAATAAAAATATATATAAAATAATGTGTTTAGTATGAAGCAAGGGTGGAATCTTTATGAAGCCTTGTTAAAACCAAAAAATGTGCATTTATTTTTTTGATAGACCTAAATGTATCTATCTATCCTGTTTGAATAATCTTATCACATATACCAGGTATGGCCAAACTTTTATCCCTTAGGGGCTACTTTTTTGGTAAAATATAGTCTGTGGGCGACTATGAATATGGGCAAACAATTTTAGGATATTTATATGCTTATGCGTTAACATTCATTTGCATTGTTCATCGGGATAAATACAAACAGTATGCGCATGTTGCACAGACAGTCTATTATTGAGAATAAATTATCGAATTAAGATTTTTAAACATTAATTTACGTGAAAGCAAATTGTTCAACTTTAGTTTCGCGGGCTACTTTCAAAACCTTTGCGGTCGACTGGTTGACCGCGGTATACGTGTTGGCCATCCCTGACATATACTCTAACTTTGTCTTTATCTGATATATCTTTATTAGAATATAAAAATCAGTTAGTGTAGGTATTCTTTTGACTATTAAACTACTATTTTTGTATATTAAAAAGCTTCTTGTCTGTTTTATTAATTTTACAAAATAACAGTTAATTAGAACCAATGACTCAGACTTATTATACTCACAGTGAATTTAATTAACTCTTTATTTATCTAATTGGGTTGTATGGTCCTTTTCAATTGGATTTTACAAACAATAAAAAATTATAACCTGCCCTATACAGAAAGGATGAGGTGGGGGTAGAAGAAAGAAAACAATTTTAATCAAAATGATGATACAAGGACTATTTTCCAAGTTTTCTGTCCTGTTTGAATTGTAATGATTGAGTGGTCTGCCTATATAGTATAATTGTTCTTTAATCCTACTTGTGAACTATAACAAGATAATTTAAGTAACTTATCTATATATTATATTTGTAATTCTAAACTAAATTATTGTACACCTAAAGTTTAACTGTAGTATAATGTCTGCTCTTTGGGATTGCCATTATTGTTTTAAATTGAATGCAATTGAAAAGGACCAGACAAGCCAAAATGCATATTTGACAAATAAAAACTTTAAAATGTTATTTCAGCTATCTAACAGTGCTTTTTTGCCAGATTAATCACAACAATTAAAAAACTAAAAACAATAAAAAAAAATTGTTATAATATACAGAAGTCATGATAAGTTTGGCAAAAAAAAGCACTATTAGATAACTGAAATATTTTTAGTACAAGTCCAAACAAGAAGCTAAATGAAGAAATAAAGAATTAATTAAATTCACTTTGATTATAACAAGCCTCATTCATTAGTTCTAGTTAACTACTATTTTGTAATACAGTAGAACCTTGAAAACTCGGCTCTCGATAACCCGGCACTCCAGATAACTCGGCCACACCCTGGCAGGGCAAAAAAATCCTTAGTTAATAATTTTCATTATAGACAGCTTTATAAAAGTATAAAAGCTCTCATAAAGTATTTTTCTGAGGTCTGTCTTATCAGGTAAATTACTGTACACAGTGTATTCATTAATTTTCATTTTCATCTTCATTCCTTTATGAAGGCTCTATGCCTTCATAAAGGACGTACTTTTCCTTTGTTTAAGGGTATTTGTTCTCTGTT